AGTGACACCACCCGACAGCTGCTGAGAGCCCAGTGCTGCCTGCACCCCAGCAGGGAGTTTCATCTGTGGAGTGGTCTCCCAGCAGGAGTAAGAAGTAGCTGTGACAGGAAACTGAGTGTTGGAGGATGATGGTAAATGGCTGGTTTTTATTCAACAACTTCATGACACTTTCCCAGAGAACTGGCACTTCTTTTTGCATGCTTAAAAAAACCCACTATATAAATATCTTCACAGCTTCTTAGCCCACAGATGCCCTTAGGTATAAAACATCACGTAGCAGACTAACACATGTCAATACCTTCAGATACTTCAGCTGGGGCTTTTCAAGAGGAACTAACCACATGTATATTGAGAGTCTTATTATAAGTTGTTAACATTTATTGAGCACTTACTATGTGCCACAAACTATCCTAAGTGCAATTCATACCTTCATGATCTCAACATGACATCACCTCACAACAACCCCATGAAGTAGGAACCACTATTGGCTCTTCTTTACAGATGAGAACTCTCAGGCACAAGGAGGCTGGGTAATTCGTTCAAGGATGCACACTAGTAATAATAAGCAGGGATATAAACTCCAGCAGTTGCCGTCTCCCTGCCCCATACCTTTCCCCTCCTGACCACTATGCTAGGGTCTGCTCTATGCCTGGCACTGCATATATGAATGCTCACTAAGCCTTGGGTTCTCCCAGTTGGGAGAACTTGAAGAAACATGGCATTAGGATCACCACATGTGTTACTCCTCAATTTCCTTAGAGAGCTTCGCTTTCTCACAGTAGGAGATGAAGCCACTTGCATGATACCCTGAAAACATCACACAGTACTGATAACTGAGTTGGAAGGTTTGTTCTTCCCTGTATCTTACCTTTCTTATGTAAAACTGGGGAAGGCTGTGGAGGGAGCAGATCTGGGAGGGAAATCAGGAGTTCAGTTTTGGACATCCTGAGTCTGAAATGCCTCATGTATATCCAAAAGGGAGATGTCAAAGAGCAGGTTCAAATTCACATACTACTGAAAAATTAATGGATGACAAGATACGGTGAATGGGACTCTCTTAAGAGTAACATGGAAGAATAGCTGGGAGTAGAGCTAGAACCAGGTTTACCATGAGTTGATAATTGTTGAGCTGACTGATGAATCCATTGGGATTAATTATACTCTTCTGAATACTTTTGTATGTTTGCAACTTCCCAAAGTAAATTTTTAAAAATTCAGAAGGAGAGGCGCCTGAGTGGCAGTCCGTTGAGCATTTGACTCTTGGTTTTGGCTCAGGTCGTAATCTCGGGTGGTGAGATTGGGCTCTCACTCAGCGTGGAGTCTATTTGGGATTCTCTCTCCCTCTCCCTCTGCCCCTCTCCCCCCACCCCGCTCTCATCGCCTCTCAAATAAATAAATAAATCTTAAAAAAAACCTCAGAAGGACACAGCATCACTTACATAGAATATCATACAAAATATAAAACCTAGGTCCAATCATAAAGGAATACGAGACAAACCCAAATCGAGGGACAGCCTACAAAATAACCCACCCGTACTCTTCAAAAATGCAATGTTATGAAAGATAACAAAAAACTAAGGAACTGGCACCAAAGACACATAACAACTATATGAAATGTGTGAAACTGGTTTGTATCCTGGATGAATAAAATTTGATAAATTTGATAAAATTTATTCTCAAATGACACAGTAATAATAACAATTATAATAATGTATAAATACATGTCTACATTATATAGATAGCTAGGAAGAGATTATGCAAATGTGGCAGAACATTAACAACCACTGAATCTAGGTGAAGCATATGTCATATTTCTTGTGCTGTTCTTTCAACTTTTCTATAGGCTTAATCTTTTCCAAAATCAATTTTTAAAAAATTAACATGATTAACCTGATGCAGTTAGTATCCCTAAAATACATCCCTTGCATTCCGTTTATTATATTCTTTTGAATAAAAAGCTATCTTCTTTATTCCTTAACAATAGGTACAAAACACTTGATTTTCCTTAAGAAGGCCTCTTGTCCGTATCAGTTTTCTCTGCATTATGTCAGTCACTTATCACAGCAGGCCCTGCAGGTACTCTCCACTGGTGGAGAACCTTGGCCGAAGAATGTCTCGCTCAGTCACAGTCCCTTCCCAGGAGAGCCCACACCCAGTGCTCGTTGACCGGGGCTGTAAAGTCCTGGCCCTCTTGCCCGAACTCAGGATGGTTCTACAGGGCCATCCCTGCTTCAGAGCTCTCCGCAGGGTCCACTGAGGCCTCAAGTGAGACCATGTCACCTATTGTGGCCTTGTGCCCAGCACACTTCCTTCCCCTCCTTGTTCCATGTGGTGGCCTCATGAACACTCCCTCACAAACCTCCTGCACAGTAATCCCCACCTCTCAGTCTACCTTCCCAGGGACCCAACTGTGGCGATAATATGACCATTTTGCAGATGAGGAAACAGAACCTTTGAAGATCACTTGCCTAAGGTCAGAAAATCATTTATTGGTAAAGCCATGACTCGGACTCCAAATCTGTTGGCCTCCAGCCTCCCCTCCCTTCGATTTACTTTTCCATATCCTACTTCTCGATTAAGGACAGGGCCAAGTTCCCACTTCTCCCAGAGGCCTCCCTGACTTCCCCTTTCTGACCTCGAAGCTCTCACCATCTGCTCCGTTTGGCACATGGGCATGGTCCCACTTGGAGGCTTTTCTGAACCCTGACCTCATATTACAAAATCATTGTGTTGTCATTTAGCTTTCCACTTTGAAATCTGGTGCTTTCTCTGCATTGTAAGTTCCTGGGGATAAAGGTCATTCATTGCTCTTCGTGTCCCAACAGTTGCTGTGCACACGCAGAGCACACAGCACATTACTGTGCAAGAATGGCAAGATCCCCTCTCTTCTGGCTGTGTTCTAAGTCTTAGAACAGGAAGCACAGCATCCTCAAAAGATACTTAGCCCTGTGGCTGCAATTTCCTTTTTGTCTTTTCTGGAATGGTACAGGGCTTTGTGACATGGGATATGAGGGGATGGCAGGTTATTCTGCCAAAGAAACAATACCAACCATGGGGAGAGAACCCAAGCTTCACTGATACACATTAGAACGTGAGCCAGAAACACCTGGTCAAATTCAAATTCAGTCAAGCAACAAGGAAGAAAAAAAAATACTAGGACTGAAATCACTAGAACATATCTTTGTCATTTATTTTGCCAAAATGACTCATTTTAATTAAAGCATTTCATAATATGCTAGCAAATGGAATGTTGTGTACTCTGCAAAAGTAATGAAGTCTTAGATCAAAAATCTGACAATACCACGTTATTAAATTTTAAGGGAGAAATAGTTGAGTAGCTTTTCTTTGAAGATTATCGACTGGGAGATTAACAAAGGCTTCTCCATAATCTCCTCCTAGCAAGGAGAAGGGGAAGGAGGCAGAGGCAAGAAAGTTTAGGCCTCACTTGAGGCCTCAGTGGACCCTGCGGAGAGCTCTGAAGCAGGGATGGCCCTGTAGAAGTTTACTCACATTCCCTCTCACTTCCAGTTCCTGGGCTTCACTTGTTGCCATGGTAACTCTGTTACTAGGTGGCCACTCAGACAGAAGCAGGACTTGAAACAATAGGTATCTAAACATATTACCAGCTTTAGGCTTAGAAATAATTTTCAGCATTTTTTTTCTCCTTTGCTGTCAAACATTAACCTGTATGATGATGTGTGGTGTTGCAAGACCAATACAAATGCATATTGACTGAGAAATAATGTTTGCCAAACTTCCCTAACTGTGCTTGGACACCACCAATACAGGAAGTCGATTTTAGAAAAAAGTTTCTGAGTTGGAACATCTGTAGGAGGGATCTCCAAACTATAGAGCTGACAGGCCAAATCTGTGGCCTGCCACTTGTTTTGTACATCTTGTGAGCTAAGAATTGTTTTTACATTTTTAAGTGGTTGAAAAAAAATCAAAATAATATTTTGTGATACCTGAAAATTATACAAAATTCAAATTTCAGTCTGAAATAATGTCTTATTGAAGCACAGCCATGCTTACTCATTTATATATTGTCTAAGGCCGCTTTTTTAAAGATTTTATTTATTTATTTATTTGAGAGAGAGAGACAGAGTGTGCATGTACGAGCCGGGGGAGAGGCAGAAGGAGAGGGAGAAGCAGACACTTCACTGAGGAGGGAGCCAGACTGGGGCTCCATCCCAGGACCCTGAGATCATGACCTGACCTGAAGGCAGACGCTTAACTGACTGAGCCACCCAGGCGCCCCGAAGGCTGCTTTTGTGTTACAACGCAGAGTTGAGTAATTGTGACTGAAACTGTGTGGCCCACAGAGCCTATTTACTATCTAGCTCCCCACAGAGAGAATTTGCCAACCGCTGATCTAGAGACATGAACTGTACAGGAAAATTTAGACTAGGAGGCTGGGTACTTCTTCTTTGCTAAGAAGTCTATATCAGGTGCTGCCTTTATTCTTTTGGGCTGCTATAAAATACTATAGACTGGGTAGCTTATCAACAGAAGTGTATTGCTTGAAGTTCTGGAGGCTGGGAAGTCCAAGATCAAAGCACCTGCATGCTCGCCTTCTGGTGAGGGCCCCCTCTTCCTGGTTCAAAGCCAGCACCTTCTCCCTGTGTCTCCACATGACAGAAAGGGCTAAGGAGCTCTATGGAACCTCTGCTATAAGGCACTAATCCCATTCATGAGGCCTAATGATTTAAGCACGTCCCAAAGGCCCCACCTACTAATACCATCTCCTCTGGAGATTAGAATCTCAACATATGAATTTGGGGGACGGGTGGGTACACATTCAGACCACAGCAGGAGTTTTCGATGCAGATGCAGGCCTTTCCAACTGAGTTTTTACACATTCCATTCACCTTTGCTTCTAGAAAAGCACAGCTGTTATTTTTGTGAAGACCAAGTGGAATAGCATTACATGATAGGATCACATTCTTTGTCAATAAGGCTCACATTCCACTCTCCTAGGGCTCAGGCAACATGCTACTTACTCCCTCATGTGTTTCATCTTGCTCCTGGCCACTGTGCTGGTGAACACTGTTGGTCCCGGGGACATGTCTGGAGCTGCACTGGTGACGGTCCTTGTGTCTGAAACATCAATGCACAGCACTTATGGACTTCATCAGCACTCCAGCAACTTGGAGGCAACATTCAAGGGCAATCAGAAAACAGGAGTTAATCCACCTTCGCCACTAGGTAATGCTACATTAATTAGAGATGAATTCAATTATGACATGCACATTAAGGAGATTTATTCCTAATGACAAGATTATTTATAGTTTTAATACGCAGAAGGAATTCCAGGACCAAGCCTCTCTCCAAAAGGATTACTTAAACAGAACACCATTATTTAAAAGATGGGCTTTATACTAGCAAACTCTCCGGGAAATGCATCAATGGCAAAGCCAACATTCCCGAGGAGCCCTTGGCAGTCGCTTTCAGCAGGTGTGGCATTTGCTCCAAGGACTGAGACAGTTTTTCTAATAAGATTAGTTTTCCCTTTATCTTAATCCCACACCTGAGCATTGCTTTTTTTGCAATGGAAAGCAAGATGCTGATGGTGCGGGGCGGGGGTGGGTCACCTGCCGCCGTGAACTTCAGCAGAGCAGAGCAGGCCAAAATTGGGTTCAGGAGGTAAAGCGTTGTTAATGAGAGCTGCAATGTTATGAAATCTGCTGAGAAAGCTACAGTTTCTACTGATAAACCCTGGAGGCTCCTACAAGGCATGTTGGAATTGAAGGGAAGGAAATAGTCCATCAACTGAAACCACACTACTTCCCATTAAGAAGCTAACGCGGGCCCCTGAGCGAGGGCTGGGGTCACGCAGAGTTGGATTTGCCTACCGTCCTTCCCCGAGCTGGGGCAGAATCTTCCTTGTGCATTCCTTACATCCCCCACAAGGTGCCTCACACTCCATCAGGAAAAAACATTGAACGCCCTAATATTCATTTATAAATTATATCCACGGAGTTACTATGTCCCAGAAGGGACCCATGTTGGGACATTCCCACCCTTCCCACCCCATCTCTTGTAACACGTGACTCTCTGATTTAGGGACTGAATGAGGGAGTGAGAGCCAGTTTTCATATTACATATTAGCAGTTTTCTTCTTCTATTTTTAAGTTTAAAAAATTAAATGCAAATTCTAGCATTCCTCAACTACACCCTTCTTTTGTACACCCCCTGGGAGGGCATGCATCTCACTTTGACCTGCTTGCTCTTATGGCTATCGTTGAGATGAATACTCTCCTGCTTAACTCTTGGTCAGAAACTCAGATCTTTTCTCAGGCTCCATCCATAGATGCAGAATTACTGGATCGACAGGTATGAACTCTATAAAGGACGCCTTCAGAGATAGTTACGTAAAGCTCCTGCTCTTTCTGGTACGTCACCAGTTATGGCCAGTGACTGATTGCTCCCCTTTGGCTCCCTCCTGGCGATCACCCCTTCCATACCCCAGGGAAGACCCGCCTCAGCCTCCCCTGGTGTCAGACAGAAGCTTTATTTCAGCTTTCCCCTCCCACCAGCTTTAGCCAGGACAGCTGCTTCTCCCCAAAGAAGGCTTTTGTGAGGAGGGGAGATGGCATAGGGGGTTTGTTTCATGTGCTCATTGGTTGGTTTTTATAATCATCTTTCCTAGATCCTGAAAAGTTACTAAGACAATCACCACACCACACCAAATAAAACGCAAGCTCAAAAACCAGTCCTGCCAAGACCGAAAAGAAGGTGCTGCTTTCCCTTCTCTTCCAGAGAGCTGGCAAGTCCTGAAGACAAATAAAGGTCAAAGAAATTTCCAGGAGAGCTGCAGTTTATTTTAATGTGGCCCCGATTCCCTTCAGTAGGGTTCTCAGTATTGCCAGGAAAGATGCTAAGCCTTGAGCCCAAGAGCAGAGGCCAGGCCAAATACCATTTCAAGTACCAGCGTTGGCAAAGCTCGGTGCTCAAGAGCAATTCCTTTTTTAGTTTTTCTTATTGGCCAGGCTTTTTCCTCCCCATCCCACCTTTCATCAGGAATAGCAGTTGCTTTATGTCAAAGATAAGGACAACATATTTAGCAATCATAATAAAAACGACTGGGCTAGAATCATAGACTTCAGCTTATTAGATGAATCCCAGAGTCACTGAATCCGAGTGTGTTCTAGAACCCTGCTTCTCAAACTTCAATGTGATATGAATCACCTAGAGATCTTATTAAAAATGTAGATTCTGTCTTAGTAGGTGTGGGTAGGGCCTGGAATTCTGCATTTCTAACAAGCTCAGACAGGCAAGCTACATAATTTGTGGGGCCCACAGCTGAATGACAGTGCAAGGCCCCCTGTTCAAAAAGCAAGAGAAAAGCTGATTACTTTCTTCTGCTTCTGATTACTTGTGGACTGTCACGGTGTTTTTTATGGGGCATTTAATGCTCTCCCTCAGGAACTGGAATAGATACTCTCAAGGAGGGTGAAGACCCTTGCAGGGGCTCAAAGACCCCGCCTGCCCCTGATCCTCCCCTATCTGTGCACAGGCCCCCATAGGGAATGGAGGGTGGTGGGGGCCGGGTAGTTAGGGAGTGGGTAGTGGACAAGCCTTTCCAGGGGGGTGGCTGGAGGCAGCATACAAGTGAGGCTTCAAGCCCCCAGCATAGGTTCCATTGTTCCATCAGACTTCACTCATAAACACAAATTCAAAGATAAAAGTATTAGGGATTTTACTAAACCCCAAGTGCAAGGCCCCCTCCTTAAGCCTGGGACACCATGCAATGGTACCGGTTGCAGGCCCATGAAGCTCTGGTTCTAAAGCTCTGCTTTCTCAGACTTAAAAAATAGATGAATCCTTAATCCTTGTGTTGATTTTCTAAAGTTAATCTTCTCTTTATTAATTTCAACAGAAGGTTCATGGCCTTGGAAGTAGTACATATATGTAAGACACATAATGTTAGGTGCATATATGGATTCACAAATTTCCTGCGAGAACTGTATACCCTCTTCCCAAGGAGCTTTCTGCCACAGGTTGGAAGTGCACCCTCCCGTGAGTAAGTCTGCCCCTCGCTGTCTACCTTTGGCTGTCCCTCACTTTTGCTTCACCTCCACCTGTTTTCTAAAGAATCGTGGATCTGACAGGAAGCATCGGTTTCTAAGACAGAAGAACATCCACCAACCAGTCATCAAATGCAGCTTCTACCGAGGATAATTTTTAAAAAGTGGATATGGGCACATGTAAGGAGTGGCCAAGGCAGATGTTTAAAAAAACAAAAACATCATAAAAACAAAAACAAACAAACAAACAAAAAAAAACCACCCCAAACCAAACCAAACCAAAACAACTCTGACCAGTCTCTTCCGCCAGTGGTGAGTTCTGAAGATACTGGACTCGGGTGTGCCTCTGGGAAAAGCCCTGTGGTAGGTGTAAGTGGCTCTGACTTCAGCCTCAAGCCAGAGAAGAGCAGGGAATCAAATGGCAGCCATGTCCTGTTTCCTTCTACCCACTCACTGTGTGGGTTGTGTGTTCCTTAGAAGGAGACCGTGACTCCATTAGAATAAAGGGAGAGTGACTATGGTCACACCGTGGAGAATTCCACTGTGCTCATGGCTCAAACCATGGGTCAGCCTCAAAATGGAGGGTCCAGACATTTTGAAAAGAAGGTGGTGACAGGAAATGTAACCTGGCACAATTTCAGCTCTCGCTTCCTTCTTCCACCCCCATCATGCCCTTCCCTGGAAGGGGTAGGACCTGTGTTTCCTAGGGAAACACAACAGCAAACTGATGTCACTTAGCGGTTCTGGTGAGTTTCCTTTTAAACCAACCACACTCTTCCCTTGTGTCATTGAGCCTGGGGTCTGTCTCCCTCAAATTCTCCTCTCTCTCCCCTGAGCCCTGTCACGGTCAGCTCTCTGCCATCCTCCTTTCCTGGGTCCCATCTTTCCACGGCTCACCCCCACTTTACATCCTCGGTTCCTGTACCTTCCTGTCTCAGGTACGGGACTTGTATTTCGGTACTTAGATTTAGGGTCTTTTAAAAACTTTATTTCTATCCAAATTCATCCCAAATCATCATTAACAACAACAACAGTAATAATGGCTAACCCTTTTTTAGTAGACAAGTGCCAGGCCCTGTGCTGAGCAGCTTACCTGTATCATGTCATGTGAGGGTTCTGGGAAGTAGGTACATTTTTCAATGAATGAGCTTTGAGACAGTAAGTAACTTACCCAAGTTCATTACAACTGACACATGACATAGCTGGAACTCGAAACCAGGCCTTGTTTTATCCCACAGTCCTAGATTGGACCTAGTTGGCAAAGCTACTGGAACCTTCCCAGAGTGCATATCCACTCTATGGCAGCCACTGGGCCAGATGTTAGCTGAGGCACTTCCTGCCATGGCTTGCTTTCTAATACTCATAGTCACAGAGATGAATCTGTTACTCCACTCCCCTATACTTTTCTTTCTTTTTTTTTTTTTTTTGATTATTTATTTATTTATTTGACAGAGAGACAGAGAGGGAGCACCAGTAGGCAGAGTAGCAGGCAGAGGGAGAGGGAGAAGCAGGCTTCCCGCTGAGCAGGGAGCCCGATGCCGGGCTCAATCCCAGGACCCCGGGATCATGACCTGAGCTGACGGCAGACGCTTAACAACTGAGCCACCCAGGCACCCCTCCCCTACACTTTTCTAACCAGTTAGTAAGCTCCCTGACTACAGAGATTATGTCCTGTTCATCTTTTTTTTTTTTAACTTCTTAATCCAATGGCAATAAGTACATTCGCCATGTGCAACTATCACCACTACCTATTTCCAAAAGTTTTGCATCACCCCAAACAGAAACTCTATAATCAGGAAATAATTCCCCATGTACCTCTCCCCCAAATCCCTACTAACCTCTAATCACTTCCTGTGTCTGTGAATTTTACTGTTCTAGGTACCTTATGTAAATGAACTCATACAATATGTGTCCTTCTGGATCTGGCTTATTTCACTCAGCATACTATTTTCAAGGTTCATCAATGTATGGCATTAGCAGGACTTCCTTTCTACGGATGAATAATATTTTTTGTATGTATACATCACATTTTGTTTATCCATTCATCTGTTGATGGACACTTGTTTCCAC